CAGGTTCAGCTCGACGAGCTCTATCTAACGATATATAAAACAAAAAACTTTTTTTGTATGCTACACTTTTGCATTTGGTGCACCTTACAAAATAAATATCAAATTCGTAATCAGCGTTAAAAATTGCATCTAGTAACCCATTCAAATCTGTTCAACTCGAAAAAAATTTTTTCGAAACTTGATCAGCGAAGTGTCGCGTGACGTGGACAAGCCGTAAAGTACACCCAGATGCAGACAGTTGATAAGAAACAACGCCACAGAACTACCTCTAAAAATAATGGTTCCAATACTCAACGAAAAAATAAGAAGTCTATTAGGAAGAACTGTCGTTCTATTTCTCTATCATGTACTGGTAAAAAAATATCGCTTATAAATCGCGAACAAAACTCTCAATTGCCTGCAATATCTTTTAACAATACTGGTGGATATAGTATTACATTACCAATGTCAAAGCTGTATCAGTTAGATATTTGGGGTCCATATCTCGAGGGTTGGGTGTGGGTGTGGGTGTGGGTGTGGGTGGGTATGGGTGTGGGTGTGAGTGTGGTGTGGGGTGGGTGATGTTGGTGTGGATTCACTAAAGACCATCGCCACACCCACCCCCACACCCACACTCACACTCACACCCACACCCCACACCCACACTCACACCCACACCCCACACCCACATCCACACCCACACCCACACTCCACACCCACACCCACACCTACACCACACCCACACCCACACCTTCGAACGTTAAGATTTGTTTCATTTTTTAATCTAAATTTTAGTTGTATTTTTGTGTGAAATATTGGAGAAATAGCTGTTGCTCCATCAAGATGTTGATTAACATCGACACCATTACCGAAAACAAATGATCTTGATGTGTAAGTTTTTATTCTTGAAAGCTTCTTAGTTTTATCTTTTTTACTTCTATTGTTTAGAATTGAAGTCTCTGAAAAAACTTCACAGGTTGAACTTGAATGAATTATTGTATTTGAAAGTAAACTTCAGTTTGATTAGACATCGAGTGTAATTGAAGAACATCAATTGCAAACAAAATTTCGGCAAAGTTTATTGACAACTCCTAAACGTCATTTAACAGTGTGTATTAATTCAAAGAGTTTTTTTTTCTCAAGTAAAAATAGTTTACTTGTTTTAGCAACTTGAAACTGAATTCATTGATTCACAATTTATTTAGTTCAACTGATACAATGATTTATTCACAAGATGATGAATCAGTTTTTTCCAGTACAGATTTTTTTCTTTTTTGTTCGATTAAAGTTGAAAAAAACACAAACTATAGCTTTATCATTATGCAGATAATGATACAACTTCAACTTATGCAGAAAACTCAACTACAGAAGCGAATTCATTTTATACTGAAAACGATGATCATGAATGTCCAATAATCAATACAATAGTCGCTGGTGCTTCCAATAGTAAACTTGAACGATAAACGAGTGCTTCGTGTTCTTGTTTTTTACTATCAAAAGATATATCGTAAGGAGTGAAAGAGAAAAAAAAAGAAATCATTTACATAAACTTGTTTTTAAAGAGCACGGGATACATTATCAATATCAGTAAATACGACTCAGAAAGATGTGCCCATAACCATCTCAACAAGCAAAAGTACACAATCTGAAACACTCTATGATGTGGCTACGAAAGCAGGATCGCCTAAACTATCAGAAAATCAAATGACTTGTAGTAAGTTACTGATTGTTGTTAAGTCAAAACGGGAGGAAAGTTCATACCTGAGAATCTAACTAAATTGTTTCTAGATTGACAAAAAAAACTGTTTACCTGTACTAATAGCCAATTTTTTTGTTTAGAGCCCCTGTCTATGTCCCTGGATAACCTTGTATTATCATTGTTCTTAATTTTCTATAACAAAACTAAAGATCCCTTGCCGACTGAAAATACTTTAGTCGAACTGATATACAAGATAGTGAAAGAACTCTTCTTAAGATATGTGGAAAACATTTGTATATTGAAAAATAATGTTTAACGGGTGGATCGAAATTTTCTGGACTAACTCTTCCTCTATTTATCAGCCATCCAAAAGTTTTGTATATGAATGGAAAAATGTGGAAAACGATAGAAATTTTATGCTCTATCCATATATGAGTTCAGAAATTCGATGTCCAGTTTTGTTTGTGAGCACTGAGAGAATCTTTGAAAATATCGAAATACCGGTTTGATTGAGGAATAAAAAGACATTCACTGGCTCGATAAACCTTATATGAAGGTGATAATAACAGTTGCGTATGCTAGTTTTGTGGAGTTTACAATGATTTACAAAATATGTTGCCAAAGTCTAATTTAGCTTTTATATAAGTGACACTATAAGAGTTTTCTGAGAAGCTATTTCTACATGAGATCAATTTTAGTCGAAAAATCGGTTTTAAAAAACTGATGATAATATGAAAGGAAAATTTAAAATGCTTTATAGGAAACATAAAGAAACTTAAATATTACATTTAGTTTGGCATGATTTGCTCTACAATCTGATATATGAATCAATGTTTCAATGTTGAGTTTTGGATATCTAAGACTAAAAATATCAAAATGTACAAAAAATATTTCGGTCCAAACTAATTTTTAAGCCTGTCGAAGATTCTCTCACTGCTCACAAATAAAATCAGACATAGAATTCCTGAATTCATATATGGAAACGGCATAAAATTCTGCTCCTTATCTACATTTTTGCATTCATATAGAGCACTTTTGAACGGATGGAAAATTTGTCCAAAACTTTTCAGCCTATCTGCATTACTTGAATTTATTATAATTTAGGCAATAGACTAGAATCCGAAGGTCGCCTTCTTTCATCCACTACTTCGCTGAATAACATTACAGAAAATATGATATCAACAGCATCGTCTCACTCTTGTGCATAGGCGGCGGAGCCACGAGGCCTGGGTAGGCACGAGCCTACCCTAGATTGGAGGAGGGTAGGCTTGGGTAGGCTCAGGTAAAGGCCTGGGTAGGCTCAGATAAAGGCTTGGGTAGGCTCGAACCAGTACAGATAAAGGCTTGACTAGGCTCGATTTAATGTAAAAATTTTCTAATATTAGTTAATTTTCATGTTCTTCTGACAGATGACGAATTATTACAAGGTCAGTCCACATTTTATGTATTACAAACTCGTGCCCAGTGGCATACTGATTGATTTCGTTGACGTCTATCTCTGCATCGAATTCTTTATTTTCAATATAAGATAATTTACCTTTTGTTCTAAAATTCTATTCAAAATAACTTTTGAATTTCTAGTAATTAAAGAATAGTACTCTTTCATAGGCGGCGAAGCCATTAGGCCTGGGTAGGCTCAAGTCTATCCTAGGCTGGCGGAAGGTAAGCTTGAGTAGGCTCAAAGTTGGGGCAAACTTTAGTATACTCCCCACTAAACCTGAAATCCATGTCCTGCTCTCCACATCCTTATCGTTCTTTGACCTCATGGCAAAACCTCATCCTACACTCTCACCCTTTGAATTTTTGTCATGAGGCCGAAGAAAGGAAAGAATGTGGAGAGCAGGACATGGATTTCAAGTTTAGTGGAGGACTATACTAAAGTTTGCCTCAAACTTGGACAGATTAAGGCTTTGGTAGGCTCTATTAAATGTAAAGTTTTTCTATTATTGTTTAGTTTTCAAGTTTTTCTGGCAGATAACACATTGTTACAGAGTCAGTGTCAGTCATAGGCGGTGGAGCCATTAGGCACGAGTAGGCGAAAGCTCATCAAGATTTAAGTTTCATAGGCTAAGAGAGGCTCAAACATTTGCTTCTCACTCTATCAGATTAACAAACTTGTCTACTGCTTGAAAATTTTTGCTGTCGTCACCAGTAACTGCTAATATTTTAGGAAAAAAACCTAAATTTCGTATGACTAAGTATTCAACGTACATTGGCAATGAGTTCATTTTATGCTTTTTTGTTACAAATGAAGAATAACCTTACAGGATACTTACAATCATATCTGCTGGACGATGTTCAAAATTCTCTCATCTCTCTGCAGTTAATCTCAGATGCCAATCAAATATTTTCAACACGCTGAACAACCTCACAATGAGATTCCTTTTCTGTGAGCACTGCTACGTCGTCATAATCCTAGTTTCCAGTAATACAAATCAAAAACTCTTTGCAAGCTGCAGCTCATCAGATAGGTTCAAAATCTAATCGACTTTGAGCTTGGATCTGAAATTTGTTTGTTGACCAGAGTTAGATCTGGACCCAGGTACAAGTCCTCGAATTCAGACCTGACGGACTCTAGCTGCACGTAAGAGCCACTTATAACTTGGTTATTACGAGATTACCGTTAAAATTGTTTGGAAAATGTGTAGGATATGCTGATCACCGAAAAATTAATCGAAAAAAATGTAGTATCTTTCAAATAATTATCAGATTGGGAGTTAAAAAATTGCATTGAGAGTACGAGGATTACCAACCTGGCTTCGGATCCAAAAATTTTGCATCCGATAGATCATATTTGAAGGTCACTATTCAATCAAAAACAAAAGTTTAAGTGACTCTTTGAATACAAGTTTTTGCCACAATTTGCAAATTCATCACTGATCTGCACTAATGTTATGCATTAAAAAATTTGAGTTCGAAATAAACAGTACTAATTGTGTTTTATTTGAATGGCATAGCATAAAAATTACCCTCTCTATTTTTAACCTGTCGGTAAGGCTCCTATAAAAAATATTGAGCCTACCCTAGATTCAAAACGTTCCGCCGCCTCTGCTCTTGTGTATCATCATATGCAGCATATACATCAAGTTCAAAGAGTAAAATTCGTGAAACTAGAACACCATCAAAACAACCATCGGTACTTATTTTTGAACAATCATCTTTATCTAAAACATGCTTAGTCGTGAATTCTCAAAGACATCGTGATCGATCAGTTGCTTCATTAGAGACTCGTAGAATGCCAACAAGTAAAGATCTGACGAAATCTCATTCAACAAAAAGTCTTACTCTTCCTACTACAACTATGCAACAACCAAAATCGAGAACACTTGATCATGTAACAATATCTCATATAACTCGATGTCCATCGAACTTAGCAGCATCGTCGAATATACAACTATCATCACGAACAAAAGCAAGTCAAACAAAAGAGAATCTTGAAAAGAAACAATATTCTCATTCGACAAATGATTTACGAACATGCATATTAAATGGTAATAATAATATTTATACTAATAATGATAACAATCTAACCGAGATTAAAGTGAAACAAAGTCTATCAATACCAGATTTGAGGAAAATGCAACAAGAACCGGAAGTTTCATCACCATCTGTAGCCGAACCATTAATCAACGATCCGAAGCAAGAGTAAATATTTTAAAATAATTTTTTTTTTGAATTTTTTCTTATTTAATATAGATATATACGTATTAATGTTTTTTAGTGATCCAATTACACATGATGATCGTATGCTTACTGTTAATCATCTTGTTCATGACCTTCATCAATGCCTTAATGAGTTGGAGAATCTTTATGCATCGGTAAATTTTTGATAATGTCTTTGCTTGTCATTTCTCATTTTTCTTTCATAAAGGTTGCACAAAGCTCAGATATACGAGATACGATGTTAAAGCAAAATATTGAACAGATTTATTTTGATCTTCATATACGCATTACGAATAATCAACAACAACAACAGCAAAAGCAGGCGTGTTAGACAAATTCGATTGCTATAATTGTGACTGATGAATGCCTTTAGTTATCTTTATTATTTTTTGTGTTTCGTTCTTGAAGAATTCTGACGTGTTTCTTTTCTGTTCCTTCTTTCAAATTTCGTTCGTGACTATCTCTTTGAGTGACGATACTTCGAAGAAGTATGGGTGTGGAGTGTGGATGTGGGTTTGAATGTGAATGTGTGTGTGGGTGTGGGTGTGGGTGTGGTTATGGATGTGGATATAGATACTGCCTTCATCCACACCGCACACTCACACTCACACCCCCATCCTCAAGGCTGAGTTGTCTCATTATGCATCAATTCAGTAACGTCACTAGTAGATGAGCACTCATATTCATGTTCCTAAAATACCATCAAACAACGTTACTCTGACAGTTTCATCACTTTTATATTATTTCACATGAATTTGATAAATTGTTACGTTATCGTCTCATACAGGGTGTCGTGTGGGTAGTAGTGTGTGAGCGAAGTATGGAAATGGCTATACATGAAACGAATATCCATACCCATACGTCAACTCTGGTCTACTATTTCTGCAAGGATCCTACATAGGATTGAAGCTAATTCCCAGTAGTATCCTGCAGTCTTCGTTCATAAAAAATCTGTGCAAGATCTCGAACCAATCCTGTAAACAATGCTGTTTAACCTGAAGAAATTCTGCATACAGGAATCAATAGGTTTTGAGATAAGTTCGTGAGCCAAACCTGACAAGATCTTCAGTATTCAGGATTCTGGCAGGTTCTTCAAGGATTTTTCAAGAAATGGACATGATTGAGACATGGACCACACACATAGTTACCCATAATCTCATCTCCAGTCTCACCACGCTCAGACACATACTCACATTCAAACCCACACTTGAACCCACGGGGCCAAATTCTCACTACCCACCCTCAACCATATCCACCTACCATACACTCATTAGATAGTACACCCAGGTCAATCACGCTCCGCCGTAAACGGCCGTTCACTAACCAAATACGGCGAATAACGACGACTGTTTACAGTAGCTGTTTACGGCGACAGTAAACGATGCTTTACAGTATATTATGTCAATCGTACACGCCCACCGTCCAAGTCCACCGTAAACTGCTACCGTAACAATACGGCGACTCTATACTTTGGTCGGAAAACAATGTAAGGCATCGTATACGTCAACTGTTTCCGATCGCCGTTTACAACAGTCGTACCTAATGCATTACGGCATACTACAGCAACTGTAAACATCGGCCGTAAACTGTCGCCGGTTATGACCCGCGTGGCAACGCGACGGCTGTATACGCCAGTATTATAAAACCTCGTAAGACGCCCCTGTTAAAGGACCAATCAAAGCCCGCATTGCTGTATCTCTATGAAGGGATAGGAGTAGACCCATACATATACCCCTCAATCGATAGAGAATCCTCGACAACCCTAGGATCGGCCCGAACATGCCTATATGTTGTCCTTATAATAAAAAAGAAAACTCCCCCTGAAATCTGATTGGTCGAAATGGGCCAATGAGAAAACAGAAGTTCACTCTTCATTCACCGTTTTGTTTGGTGCAACACTCGTATATGAGTATCAGCACCAAATCGATTCACCCTTTCTCATCCTACCAACTTCGACACTGGGTAAGTACTTTTCACTCTCCTGCCTAGCAGCTCGCTCACATTTCACTTCTCCCTGTTCCGCAAGGTGGAGACCCATACATATACCCCTCAATCGATAGAGAATTCTCGATAACCCTAGGATCAGCCCGAACATGCCTATATGTTGTCCTTATAATAACAGCGAAAAGTCATCTTGAAATCTCATTGGTCCAGTAAATGGACCGATGAGGTATTGGGATTCTATTTCTCAGTGTGGTACTGGGTGGGGTCCCATACCTATACCTAGGAATCGATAGAGCGTTCTTGATAACCCTAGAATTTACGCGGGCATGCCGATGTGTTGTCGTTATAATATCAGAGAAAGTTCGTCCTGATAAGATCGGCGAAATACGGCCACCGTATACGGTGATTTACGGCCGTATACAGCCACTGTATACGTTGTTTTCCGGCCGTATACAGTTGCCGTATTACGCTGTATGCGGTGCGGCGAAATACGGCCGTAATACGGTCCCACGAAATACGGCGAAGATACGGCCGTATATGGCCGTAAATCCGCCTTATACGGCCGTATACGCGGTCGTAAACGGTCGTGTACGACCGTTTCTGGTCTCCGTAATGGTCGTTCTGGACAGGCAAAGTAGTCTGTCCGTCTCTGATACGCATGAGAACATATAAAAGATTCGCTCGAAAATGTGCTCGTATGTCGTATTTCGCCCGATCAATACATTTTATCGAAAACAGAACACTTGTGAATGAAACAAACTACTGTTAATGGCGAGTCCATGTAACATGGATGTTGTTTGTGTAGTTAAGTGAATCTCGCTTTCAAAACAACTAACACTTTCGCTTTTAAAAAGATGTACTTTTTCTATCGTTCTTTTCATGTCTTTCAATCATATTTTTACAATTGAAACAAACCAAACATCGAGCATACATTAATTTTCTGTACTCCCGTATGATTTAACTTAAATATATGGACAACTAAAACATTAACTTGTTCATACTGTCTTCCAGCTGGAGAAAAATTAATCAAGTAATAATTAGTTCTTAAGGTAATAGTGTTCCAAAGGAAACTATACTTATCAGGTATAGGGCTGCCATTTCTTCCTCTTTGGTGAAACTCACATATATTTTCGAATAAAATGGCGAATATAAGCTTAAGAACAAAATTTTGTGGTCCCCGTCTGCCTCTCCATTGCAGATGCTTAGCAACACCGGTTTCCCATTAGAGACCTTCGCCATCGGGAATAGTAGGCATCAGAATTTTTAAAGCTCTTTTTGCAAAATTGAGCAAATTAAAATTTTGAAACAAAGTCAACACTATTCGCTGACTTCATCCATATATATATAATCCTGCGCAAAATCTTCTGTAGATATGATGAATATGTAGAATAGACTTATTTTCCGATTAATTCAATCACTATAATAATAAGATATTTAAACTAAAAACAACAATGAAAAAATTGCCTAAAACTGAGGGAGCACAGCAACAATGCACACAAAATATACAGCTCACATCGAAAACATAAAAAGTTTCTGCTCGAATCGCACAATGTCGAGAAGGTTATTATTCTAGTGTTCGATTATCCTGCAAAACTAACTATAGTCTACGAGAGCCTTTTCCATTTGCATATTTTTTCTATTAGTCTGATGAGCCTAGACAACATATGTGAGTTTCACATTTCCGCCCCAAAAGGACTACGTACATGTATCCCACTACACCAAATAAAATCTTCAGCAACAAACATAACGATCATTCATTTTAGAAGAAGTATCATGCTGCTTGAAATAATATTTTTCACTATTGCCGCCGGCATCTACCGCCCGCTATCAGGTGCTATTGTGCTGGCTGATTTTCAACAACAGGCCCTTCTTCAACACAACTATTATCGTCAGCTCCATTGCACTGATGCTTTAGTACTTAACTCAACGATAAACACCATTGCTCAGAACTATGCCAATTATTTAGCAACAAACAATCTCTTTCAGCATAGTGGTACCTCAGGTTTGGGCGAAAATCTTTGGGCAATATGGTCATCAGGAGCAATTCGATCTGTCAACGGTAATCATCATCCCATACTATTCATCAAACGAATCGAATATGTTTTCCACTGAATGTCTTCTAGGTTCCTCGCCAACAAACAGTTGGTATAGTGAAATCAGTTCATATAACTTTGGTTCACCAGGATTTTCATCATCGACTGGTCATTTCACACAAGTTATTTGGAAAGGATCAAAACAATTAGGAATTGGTATCGCTTTCACAAGTGATAATCGAACCGCTTATGTTGTGGCTAACTATTATCCTCCAGGAAATGTAATCAGTTCATTCTCTTCTAATGTACTCCCACTGTGCTCGACAACCACTCCAGTTTCAGCAACCACAACTAGCATCTCAGTCACAAAGAACACTACAGCTACAACAAGTATTCCAAGAACCATAAGTAGCTCATCATCAACAACTGCTTCAAGAATATCAACTACTACAGGAACAGCGACTGCATCAAGAATATCAAGTAGCTCATCTACACAAACAATAACAACAACATCAACACCCACAACTTTTCAGCAGCAAGCCCTTCTTCAGCACAACTATTATCGTCAACTCCATTGCACTGATGCTTTAGTACTTAACTCAACGATAAACGCCATTGCTCAGACCTATGCCAATTATTTA